TATATATAATTTCAAATGATGTACTGGATATATCGCGAGAAATAAATTCATGGAATAATTATATGTTTACGTGTATGCACACACTCATAAAACATTCATTTTGTATTTTTTGGCTAGCTGATTTTCAATCTTTGAAACTGTTCACATAAACTTCATGCTGAAAATGAAGTGAAAGAGTATAAGCTTTACTTGATATATACCAAATAAAGGCCTTGAGTACATGAAACGAATGGCGAAAAAAGACTGGCATTCATCAGTGCAGTTTTTAGCATGACCACCGATTCACATTCATTTGTTCTATTCGATTCAATCTACCATGGAAGCAATCAGCTGAGTAAATCCTTGAAACAATACTATACTTACAACGATATACCAGACAATAATCATTTTGGATAGGCAATATAAACGGATAGAATTTCTGTGATCGTAATCAGCGTTAATAATGATAGCAAATAACAACGATAGCACTATTAATTATGTTAATGTTAATGAACATAATCATTTAACAAAAATATCAATGACGAAGATAGCCAAAGTAAGCAAAAATTGCAGAACAACATGAATAAGTGGGTGAATGATTGCAAAAATCGTCAAATTGCTGCGCTCTTGGATTGAAAATCAGTGCTTGAGATGCATTCTCAAGGAAATATTCACAGTTACCTTTGAAGTTCGCCATGGTTCTAATAGTAATGAACAAAAGCATTAGTGATCGATGAACAGCAGATAGCAGTGATTAATGAGCATCAATATTATACTATTGAAATCACTTTTATTTTGTCGCTGTCCTCGTAGCTATTTTTTGAGTATTTCCGCTATCACAACGAATTGCTGTCCTCGTGGAGTGAATATGCGCGACCTATTACTTCTACAAAAGGATTGAGTTTGCAAAAGATGATTAGAAGAATTCGATTATTCTATGTTTCCGAATTAACTTATTGAATATTGTTTCAATATTCCTCATTTTGACTGACCAGTTTTCCTTACTGAACTATTTCGATGTAAAGGAATTGATTGAAGAGGGAAAACTGTTCATTCAGAGACAGTAATATCTTAAATGATATAGCAAGTTTAGTTGATAGAAAAGATTAAAGGATGATGGTTATGGCGATGCAGATAACGACTTGCTTTAATAAAGTACTAATTCGGTTTACATATCGAATCATTTGTTATCTCTATTTATTTGTTCAGTAGCAGATTGCGAATTCATTCAATTTTCACAGTTTTGCTTTTAGCTCATATATTAACATTATTATTAGTATTACTATTATTGATACAATATCATTATTAATATTATTATTAATATCAGTATTAGTATTATTATAGTATTATTATTGGTATCAGAATTAGTTAAGTATTAGTACTGCAATTATTAGTCCTATTATTATCATTACAAATATCAGTATAATTTTCCCTTCATTCCTACTGAATGATTTAAAGGAAAAGACAGTGATAAATGGTGAAGAATTGTGATTGCAAAAGTGATAACAGAAAGTAGTATATAAGGCTAGCACAACAGTAAGCGAAAAGCATACGATGGTAAGGAAATGAGTATGCGCAGATTACTGTTGTAATGCTCTCTGGAATGCTCGAATATGATATGAAAAACTGCTTAGTGAATCTGTTGATGGATCGTCTTGTACAGCTTTCAGTGGTTCAAAAGTTACTGATTATTATCCAATTAGCAGTATTTTTAGAAGATGAATTGTTGGGAAAAAATATCAAATTTTCAATTTTTGGTCTTTGTGATTAGGCTTTTCGCATGAGAAACCACTGAAATTGTATTGCCGCAGCTCATCAGACTAGTGAAGGCACTCGCATGTCATCTCTATGTTCTTTACGCGCCAACTCTGAGCCGAGATACGAATCACTGGAAATCCCAGTTTTCGGATCTTAAGGGAATTATTTTTGCGAAAAAATTCACCTCCAATTCCAGCAATTTCAACACCACTCGATTCATTTCGATGAGTGAATCATCGAAAGCATAAAACTGTGATATTTTGAGAAGTCAGAGGTGAGCAAATGGCCTCCAGGATTAACTTGAAACATTAGAATACGATTAATCCGAAGACGGTCAAAGATTAAGTTGCGCGTTAAGTTACTCAGTGGGATTTCTGCATGTGTGCTAACCACACCGTATGAATCATTTTCAGTTCCCTCGTGTTAATTGATAATCGGAATAATTTCTTGTGCAACTCGCATTGAGCGGGTCCTACTGTGAACTTCTTAAAGTGCTATATTGCTGAGTGATTTCATCATACCACTAAACTTTATATATTTCATAACCAAGTTCATCAGTCTTGTGCTACCATGCTTAAGCAACTTGCATGCTCAGATTTCAAGACGATACTGTTGCCACTGATCGCTCTTGTTTGTTGATCGCCTTTTCTGGCTTCGAATTTTGGTGTTTTATGAGCTTGTTAGCTCAAGAACTTCAGCCAGCATCATTTGCCATTTTCGTAAATCGCCTCTCATCATTCACTAATTCACTCTCATGATATATATTATGAATACATCATATAACACATTCATATGTAGTGGTTCAATCACATTTCGAATGAATCTTTTCAGACCAAGTAAGCACACATTTCGATGAGCTGGTTGAATCGTTAATGATCAAGAGGTGTGTTGTTTGTTTAGCTGGAAATTTTCTCATTGTCTGTATCGACACTTATTAACTTCACTCGTAATTGCATTAGCTATAAAATGCGTGCTCATTCTCAATGCGCACATCAAATCGAGTCATAATTTCTGAATGAGGTAATCTGCTTTTGAGATAATCACAGTGATAATCGATAATATTGTCACAAAAAGATAACAAAGTTTTCTGATTTTTTGAACTTACTTTCAAATGTGCAGACATGCACGCGTCACTTCTCAGCATGACTTCTTTTAAAAATGAAGAAAAGGTTGATGATTGTTTTCTTGAGTGAAATTAACCAAATCGATGTGCACAGAACTAATCGTTCAATCAATGAAATTGTCGAGAACAGTTATCATATTTTTTTGAACCGTTTGCGTTTTTGATTTTACGATCAACTGATGTTAATCATATGTTGATTTTGTGTGTGTGCTAGTGGATCAGCGAGTAGTTGAGTTATGAGGAAAAACCTTGCGACTGAAAAAGCTCAAAACTTCTTTTTCACTAATCCATTTATTTTCAGTTCATTCAATAACTTCCCAATGCAGTTTATCGCAAGCAACAAGGAACTGTATGAATTGAACATCATAACCATCGTCAGTGGCAACAACACGTCAGATGTCATGAGAATTCCTTGATGAATAAATCCTCTTTGAGCAAACGATTTCGAACAAAACTGGTTGAGCGAAAGTCACTTGTATGTTGTGGACATTTTTCGCGATCAACTGAGTTAACACTGATTCAGTCTTCATTACTTTCTCATCCCGACAGTGATGCTGACTAATGCCGAAAATTTGCTCGGCATTAGTATTTGCTTGAACTGAGAATCAACGCTGATGTTCATTTCAATGCTGTGTCTGAAAATATGTCATTTATGAGCAAACGCTCACAAATGGAGCTCTGAATTTCAACCACATAATAGTGATAATGTCATTGACGATAATAATGATGGTTAAAGTCGTACGCCGAAATGCTGCTAGTATGCTTCAAATTTATAATTGAAAATAAGAAGGATTTGCATGACTTCCCATTCATCCAGTGCTTCAGTGGAATTGCATGGAATTTCTCCTCTTTTTGAAACAAGCAAACATTTTTTCTGACAATTCGCTCATAGTAAGAAATGGACTTGCCAAAAAAGATTTTCATTTAGTGATGTGCAAGCAATATGTTCGGCACAGACACAGAGATACACACGGACATACAGACATGCACACGATACACACACATAGTTCCGTCTGTGTACAATAAACTCAGGTGAAAAAGTATAATTGAATCAGTTTCCCTAAACAGAGAAAGGTATTTATTTTGTTCCGCACGCCCATAATCTAACTTCATTGGTATCATCAATTTCATCTTCATCGCATTCTCTCTCTTCACTGGTGGTTTGACGCACATAAATAATCATAATTATAATATCAATGATGATAGCAAAAAAATTATCATCATTTTGATCAGTTCATCGCATTCAAAATAACATTCTCTGAAAATTGTTCAGTCATTCATACGTGAATGTTACTGTTGATATTCTAGGAAATATCAAGTTTGTTCTGTTCTGCTCTCATACTCCTTCATAAGTGCAGTTCATTATTATAACCATTGTTACTGATATTATTCATACTTTCACCAGTACGATTCGTATCACTATTATTGAGCTACCATAACGAGGCAGTAAGTGGAGAATATTCGAATCAACTTAACACGGCTTGTTTTATTCGAGTATTTGTTGCCAAGATGATGAGAAGCAGCAGAAGCACGAGCAGTTCGTCAACACTGAATGCATTCGCAACCGAGTGGATTGCTAAAATGTTCTACAGGATCGGTTACCATATCGGCAGACAACCAACCGCTTATTTAGTTGCTTGCCTGCTGATAACGGCACTCATCGCGTGCGGTAATATTTACGCAAAAGAATCATCAAGCACCAAAGATTTTGTGCCTACTGATGCGCAGAGTCTTGTCGAGATTCGTGAAGCGGAACGATTTTTTGGTGTTGACGGTGGACAAATATTCCGCATCAATGTGCTGGCATTTGCAGCAGATAACGGTTCATTGACGAGAACCGATGTGGCGCTTCAGCTAATCGATTTTGTTGAGACGTCCACTGGAGAGATTCGAATTTTTGACGATACCATTCGATACAGTAATAATAACGCCGATGGTGACGATTTTGATAGCAATGATGAGGATGATAGTGGTGTATTTTTGCTGGATGACAAGATGAACTTTTTCTTATCAACTAGTGATCAGAAACTTAATGGAACGATGAATCGAAGTAAAACAATGGACGATACACTCGCAATAGAACGACTCTCCTCATCAAGCTTTCATACATTTCGTGATTTTTGCGAGCCATATTGTGACACAAACGCAGCATTGACAATCGCTCTAAAAGCAAGCATTGTGGGCCGTGATCCACTGGAATATCCAATCAGTCATGTGTTCGGCACCGAAATCAACATTGCCAACAATGTGTTCAATATTGATTTCAATGAAACAACCGGCTATATTGATAGCTTTCGAAAAGCAATGTTGGTCTATCTGCTGGTGCTCCCGCCTGGTGATAATAGTTTCGGACTAAAATGGGAACAAGCGTTGAATTTGAATGCTAAAAATTATGAGAAATTAAAGTTGATGATTTGGAGCAATGCACTTTTGGAGCGTGAAGCGAAAGAAGTTGCTAAGCGTACGGCACCGTCCATTATTATCACAATCGCACTTCTTGGTGCATTCTTTGTTCTCACTTCATTTAGGTTCGTCCCGCTCTTAACTTCCTTCTCCCACTCCTTAATACACTCAAAAATTCACCATTTGAAACCTAAAACCGAACAAAAGACCATTTTACAATGAGCACTGAAGCCAAATCAATTTTGAAACGTTTTTGAAAGATGACAGCATTTAAAACTAAAATTAAGTTGAAAGCTCTTTGATATCGTCTACAATTCGAAATCACAATCAATAGATTCTGATTTGAACAAGGTTGATAGATCAATACCAAACGATTCATTGGAATCATTTGCTTTCATCATATGGAATGTTCTTTTTCATTCCGGATACTAATTGAAATTATTTCATGAAAAAGCAAGTTTACTGATTTATTAGTGAAATTATCACCGAGAATTTTGCAATTATTTGTGCTATTGTTCATTCATTCATTCAGCAATCGCAATAACTCCTTGCGAATTCATGCATCTCTGTTATCACTGATATAGCTTTGTTGTCGCAGAACAAGTGTAGTTAGTGCAGTGAATGCTCCGTTCTCATGAACTTTTGATTTTAATTATTGATTTAGCAATCATAGAGGTATAGGGACATTCTTCAGTATTGCCTAATGATTTGTAGGGAGAGGAAGTTAACGGAAGCCCAAGAAATGCCTTCAGAGAGAAGCCAATCCGACTAATTCAATGTGGTTGTTTGAAATAGAATATATGATTTTGCGTTTCAGAGAAGAACCAATTCAGTCGAAACCATGGGAATCACTGTGCGAGATGGTCATTCCACTACTTGGTCTTGTGACAACATTTGGCATGCTTTCGTTCCTAGGCATACAGTATCAGTCGATTCTGGTCGCAACACTATTTCTGGTGTTGGCCGTTTGTACAGATGATGGCTTCATTATGTTGCGTGCTTGGGACTCCGCGTTACATGGTGAACCTGGTCTAATGAAAGTGAAGAATTCGTGCATTGATCTAGCAAATGTCGGTCATTTGTGCGAACTGATTTCGGTGGAACGTCGAACAGCGATTATGCTGAAAACATCCGGTCCAGCAATTACAATAACGACCTTAACTAACGCACTCTCGTTTAGTATCGGAATCTTCAGTCGAACACCAGCCATACAAACCTTTTGCTTGTACACAACCGTCGCCGTACTAGCATGTTTCGTCTATCAAGTGATTCTTTACTCAGCAATTCTTGCGTTTTCGGCGCATCGTGAGAATTCACGACGCCGAGCATTTTTGTGCTGCTTCAGAAGCGATAAGCCGAAACGCCGACAATGGATTGTTGAGTTGAATAAATTTTATAATCGATTGGTGGACATGTGGGTGAATGTGGTCGTTTGGAAGTATACGAAATGGATTCTGAGCGTTGCGTTGATCGCTTATTGGTGTACATCCGTGTATGGTATGACAAAAATGCGTTACGATTTAACAGCTGACAAACTGGCACTGCCTGATAGTGAATTTATTGTTTATCAACGTGAACAAGATCAGGCTTGGACGGAAATGCAACTGCTGACTGTTCTTGTGACGAAACCGGGCAATTTGTTGAAAGGAAGCGAAATGCGGAAATTAAAGAATTTATTGGATGATTTCGAAAATGCATCGTTCAGTTATGGGCACTCATCGACACTTTTTTGGTTACCCTCATATATGGACTTTATCGCGGAAATTTCTGACGGCTTCACCTACACGGAACTACCAGACTTTTTGGATACAGCTGGCTTCAAGCATTGGCGGCCGTTGCTACGGCTAAATGAAACGGCTTGTATAAACAATCAACCGGAATGCATTCAAGAGTATGCCTTCATGACCGGATTCACATCAGTCACACACTTTTACGATCGTGTACCGTTGCTCAACGAATGGCGTCAAATAGCGAGCAAGTATGCGGATCTGGGCATATTGCCGTATAATGATGTGAATGCTTTTGTGGATCTTTCTGCGAAAACACGTTCTACGGTGCTTTCAAGTGCGTTGGCATCGTTCGTGTGTATTTCAATTGCTTGTTTCATCGTTATACCACACCTGACCACCGTATTTATTGCTGTATTGACCGTAATCAGCATCAATATTGGCGTATTCGGATTTCTAGCCCTAATTGGTGTCGATCTAGATCCACTTTCGATGGCTTCTTTGCTAATGGCTGTTGGCTTTTCAGTAGACTATACGGCTCATATTGGCTACCATTATTGCCGAATTGATACAAATGTAAGTCGTGTTTTAATCACGAATTGATGCTTTCTTTTGGCGGAGTCATTCCTTTACAATGTGTTATTTGTGATGATTTCAAAGTGGGAATTAATTTTTTGAGAATGAAAAAACGTAGTTTCGACTTGAAAGGTGAATGTGATTTGGTACATATTGCTTAGAAAAAAACGGGTAGTGCGTTAAGATTTTTGATCAGTTTTTTTTTTCATAAAAATGAATTTTGCCGATTACAGTTGACACATAATATACTGTGCCGTCAAACAGTGATCAACTGCTTAATGGTTAACTAAGATACTGTAAAAAATTTCTGAGGAAGATAGATGATGACCATCGTTAACGAAACGTTTTCGATTACTATTTACTTTCTTCAACAGTGTTCAGTTTTAGCTGTCAGTAGAACGTGTGCATTTGTAAATGTAGATATTTATAGTGCTACCTAGGCATGCATTCACAAATTCATCTGAATATTGATATTCAATATGAACGGTTCTCCTAACAAATACTCCTCAGCCTCAGATAGGTATTATTTCGAGGCACACGGATGAAAAAAAGTACATATAAAGTCATTCACAGGTTTGATTTACAGTACTGATTCGCAGACGTATTTTTCGTGAGTTGCTTAATTTGAAAAATTGTTTGCGAATCATATGAAGTGGCTGAGTTAATCGCTGAGAGTGGTAATGATCAACATTATGACGAAAGTGATTTTCGCTGCTGTGGTTGTTTTTTTTTTCGGCGGGGGTTCTGATTGAACGTGACAAATGAGTGAAGAAGATGGCTTCAGTTGATTGTAAAGTGTCAGACATCTAGAATCTCGCTTTTGCTCGTCGCAATTGATCAGAAGAGAAAAATTGAAACATTACACTGAAATAGCTCTTAAAATAGGGAGCGTTGCGATGCGTTCCAAGCTTTATAAGGAACCAACAATATGTGACAGCTGCGTAATTTTTCATTGTTCAATAAAAATTGTGACAATATTCATGATTCTGGAGGTATCCTTGGACTTAAGGCAGATGAAATTTGATGGAGATTTATGAAAATAAAATGAGTGATGCACACGGTTGAAATTATGTTGGCGTGTAATAACGTGCTTTTTTTGCATGACGATTAGGAAGAGCGAGTTGTTGTGTTAGCGTATGTGGAGTGCGCATAAATGGAATAGAACGACAAATGGACAGATACTCAAAAAGAGCATGTGAGATGGTGTTTGTGAAATTGTATGATCATATTATTGATAGTTGTGCTTGATTATTTTCGATGTTTGATTTTTGATTCAAAGGGGGAGAACCGTTTAAGACCACTTTTAGTTGAGTGATACTTTGGGAAGTTGAAGTGGAATTATTTCTTAGTCATAAATTGTTTATTTTTTGTACAACACAAAAGTAATTTGTCAGTTTCTACCAATGAAGATAGCCAAATAAATGTGCGTAGGTAATGAGCAGCCAAAATTGGTTGTGTTCATAGATCGTTGCACACGGAAACAGCAATAAACGCGACATTACCTGTGACGAAACAGTGAAAAATTACAAGACAAGAAGAATTAGTTCTGAATTTGAAGCTCAGACTAGAAAAAAAGATGAAAGAACCTCTATCAAAAGTAACTAATTGTTGCGTTTCTTACAATTTGAATTTTATTTATGATTTGCGATGTATATGCCATAGATAAGTAAATGAATTTATAAGGAACTGAATAAAAGAATGACGAATATGCATGTTGCTACCATAACTGTTTGTGTGTCAGTCGAAATGTCACTCTATTCAACGATATGATGTGAACTTCGATTACTGGCTACACATAAATTAGTCTGCGATGCATCTAATCCTTTCTTTGCTTATAAATTTTGCGCATTCCAAAAGTAATTCGATTAAAATGACATTTAAGGATTCAGACAACCATCATCAGAGAGCACAAATTTAGAATGAATCAGATTTGAAATGATGATGGTGTGAAGATAATGAAGAAAACTGAACTGTGGTAACTGATAGCAAATAAGGCACAAAAGGATGATGAGAACCTGTTTGAGAAGTTTGCGATTGCGAATGAGTCTTTTTTTGAATGGAAATTGCTTCGACTAGTACTGCGATCATAAAGTGTTCTCAGTTTTCGACATATAATATCAGCAGTCTTTATAGTTACGAGAATGTTTGATAAGATGATGGTATACCATCGAAGTATAATGATTGTTTTCAACGAGATGGAACTTGGAATACCACATCAAAGCAGTGATCTCACGAGTAGAACACATTGTTGGTCGGCTTTTCACTAGGAGCAATCATTCACTGTCTAACTGTTTATGTCATCCGATTTTGCTTAATTCGAGAATAACTCTCAATTTTACTTTGCTTCCAATTGCTTTTTCAATTCGTGATATGAGATAATGAATCAGTGATGAGCCAAACGTTTAGAGGGATTTGATGATTCTAAGATTTGCTGGAGATGGATTTTGTATTTTGTATAAATCGGTTTGGACAAACGACGAAGTTTTTGTGCTTCAGAGCTATATAAGATTTCAATATTGCAGTCAGCTGAAAGGCGATTACATTATGCGTTACAAAGCATGCTATGGCCGATGGCACAGTGTGCACTGTCGACGATCCTTGCAATGAGTCCAATTCTGCTTCAACCGTCCTACATTTCATTTGTCTTTTCAAATACGATCTTCTTCGTGGTCGTTTTCTCAGCATTTCACGGTACGATCGTGCTACCCGTTACTCTTATAGCGTTGAATATCGGTGGTACGTATGAAGCAAAGCGACGACACTCCAACGTTTTATCATCATTTGGCAGCCGCGTTACAATCGTGCCGATCACATCGCTCACATCTCTTGATACCTTCAAAACTAAACTTGATGCTTACTGATTACACTTTTTCGATTCGGATGCTCTTCAATTCGCCGTTTTTACATAAAAATGCAGCAACAAAAAAAAACAACGTAAGCAGAATATATGGATCATCTATTCGAGGGTTGAAAATGGAGCAGTGGAAGGTGGATGGGGCAAGATTGAGAAGTGCCGATCATGGTGTAATCTTCCAGTTGTGAGTTAAGCACATGAGTAAAGAATGTTGGATCCGTGGGCGATAGGCTATAGAAGGTTTTATGTAGTGTTGAGAAGCTGGCCACTAGGATTTGCAAAATCCCGACGTTTTTTCCAATCCCGGGATCGATTTTTGACCAAATCGCGTAAAAGGAAACGACTCAAAATTTCGTTGAACTTTGTAGCTCTTGGTTCTTATTAGAAAGTGTGATTATCTCTGTTAGTCTACTCAGAAGTGCATCCAGATGAGCGTGATACAAACCAATGAAGAGCAGAATAATCAGTTGAATATTCAATGAAATGTTATGTAAAAGTTCATCGAGCTGTCGTTGGTCATGTCATTCGTCCAATTTGCGTCTATTTCCTCAGCTACTCATCAACGATAGAGGGCAAACAGCAAAGATGATTGCATATAAAAGAGATGGGAATGATTAAGGCTTGCTTCAAGATGGGTATACTATCAAAATTCACACAAATTGACCTGTTTTATCAAATCCCGAAATCCCGGGATTTTTCAAAACTTAAATCCCGGGATCGGGATCAGAACTGCAATCCCGGGATCCCGTGCAAACCTTAGCTGACCACCAAGCTAACTGTACTGTTACGTTTCCATCTCTCGGTGAATTAATTCAACGCATTTTCCCTGATTTTTGAATGTAACGTTGAATTTTGAAGGTATGTTCACTGGAATTACTTCCATTTTCGTATTTTTGTATTTCATATGTTTGATTTCTTCGATTGCATTTCATACTTTGATTATGAAAAGCAATAAATATGCAAAAACTATTGCAACCTTATTTTTCCATGATTGTGAAATGCATATGTTATCACTGTATATATGTATACTATATTATAATCACTTATCGAATAACATTCATTCTTTGTTCACTGACTGTCGAAACAGTAAAGACCAATACAGCTATATTTGTTAAATTACAAATATAAATATGTTCAGTTCCTAGCAGAATATGTTCCAAATCATGCGTAAGATTGTGTATAAAATACGGCTGAAGTGCTTATATTAATTAATAAACTTTATTCATCATCAACACATTAGTCAATCAATCATTCACAGCACAAAAGTATCATCAATAACACCATAAAATTTGTTTTGTTATCGCATAAATCAATTAACTAATTTTCGTGAAATATCACACCATCAGTTGGCAGTTAACATTCCGCGCGCTCGATTCAACCACGAAGTTCCACTCAAAACCATCACCACCCTCCAATATTAGGATTTTATGGCTCATGTAGCTCATGATGTAATCGGGACTTACAAGCCAAGCTACGATCATCAGTTCTTACCGGACCCTGGTACCGCAATATAGGCGAACTGAGCTGATTTTGGAATTAACAAATTCCAATGAAAGATCAGCAAAACGAACAAAGTCGGATGGAATCAACTAAGCGGTCAACAGACTGAACGGCGACAATTCAACATAGTTAACGGATTTAATCGTTTTTTGTGCCTTCTTCAAAATGCATGCTACAGTATCTTTGCAACATCATCATCACCATCTTACAGCCATTACAATCAAAGATTTTATTTACAATTGAACAAATTAACAAATGAACACACAAATAAATGCATAGGTGAACAACTCCATAGACAAATAAGTAAATATAAAATTAAAATTTGGAATGATGTCTATTCATCGCAATCATCATCACTGCCATTACAAAGTTTCGTGCTGCTTGCCTAGCCAAGAAAACCATCAACTGATAAGAAATGAAGCAAAGGAAAGGCTAAAAATCTCAAACTTGATATGTAGAAGCTAATTAATGTCGTTTTCCGTGAACCTCTCATCTTCTGTCATTGTCACCTTTTATTTTCTTAAAACTCCGAAACAATCAGCCACGAACAGGCAATGATGCGAACGCAACGCTTGAACGAAATTTCTAACATTATATCTTCAGGAAAAATGAGTGATAAATTCAGAGAACAAATATATTTAAAGACAAGAGAATGAAACAAAAATCCTACATGAATGAACACATGCTTCAAATGTAAATAGTAATATATGGGACAGTAACAGCATTGCGCTGTTATTAACGAGTATAGCAGTAGTAGTCTAACAATTTCGAGTAAAGTACATAAGTTGTTGATAAGCGAATGAAAAAAAAAAAGTGAATACGCAATCAGTCAAGCCGTAGTTGTATCTAGATGGTGATCATAATACAAAAGCCAACCAACGGTAAGTATGGCTTCATCAACGGTCCAATAACGGGTGTCCATAGCATGTAATCAACAATCCACCAATAAACCTTGAACTGAAAACGACCCCAACTGAGACGTGCACGTGGTGCTTCGATTTGACCCGACTCCATACGTTTCCGTGCAACGTCAACAGCTGTCTGATTACATATACGCGAATTGTTCTTATTCATGAAGTAGAATCCGAATCGTGCCAACTGCATTAGCTTAGAGCCACCGTCAGTTTCACAGTCCAGTTGCATTATATAAGGTGGATTTTTTTGATCCGTATACATCCATTCCCATGAATGTGCGATCCTTAAGAGAAACAAAATATGAACGGAGAAAAACTCAATCGTGTAACTGATATGCACACGTACATCAAATATCAACACAACAACAGCAATCGCCCTTAGGTCAGTGGATAAAGCTGCGCAATGATGTCATACATATCACTGAATAAATGATAGAACAAGTGAATGGCATTGTGATAATGCACGTTCAGTTCTTAGAAGGATGAAGTTCGTTTTAAATTTCAAGTAAATTGAATCGTGTATTTGGTCCTTATCACTGACTGAAACAATTCTATCCAGTTCGCTTATTTCTTCACTGCCCACTGGGAAGAAGTAAGGGTAGGCTCCTCATCCCCCCCCCCCTCTAAAGAGCAGAAGAAAGTGGAAAAAAGCGGGAAACAGGAAGTAAAAGATGGGAAATGGAGAAAAAAGTGGGAAAAAAAAGGAGGAAAAGAAAGAAGAAGAGGGAGAAGGAAGAAAAAGTAAATGTAGAAAACTCCACCCCACAATTCAGCTATACTTTTGGACCAGATCATTTTGTGCTCGCCCCTCCCGCTCTTCTCAGGCAAAAATCCTGACTACATCGCTGAGTCGGTGGCATCATTTTTTGTTCAATACCGATCCAGTCAACGTTTTTGTTCAATGAGCGAAACAGAAACTTTTTCGGTGAGTGAAACAGGAAAGTGCAATCCTCACGTCCTCTCACCTTTAAAACTTGTTTGTCAAAAAACATCGTATAGGTTCAGCTTTGATCTGAATTCTATCAACGCACAAAACGAATATGAGCTCCTTGCCGCATTTTTTAAATTCCAACTCATACGGTCACATCATCTTCGATCTCTTATTGGTAACGAACCTTAGCAGTGCCGAAACAAATTGGTAAGTTGTCCATTAGAGTTCCATAGTAACGTTGCATTAGCACTAACGAAGAGAAGGTAACGATAGAGGAGTATGTAGAAAGTATCCTCTCGAAAATGAGGGACGAGAGTAAGTAGGCGACAGATGGAAAGAAGAAGTGTGTATTTTCAATCAATATGATTAGCGCAGGAGGACGGGGGGAGGAAAAGAGGAAAGACGAAGTCGCTCATGAGAACATTGATCATTAGTGATGGCCTCCGAGCTTTTAGAATGAAATTTGAATCGTTGACTGAATTAAGCCTAAGGTGCACACGCTAGTATAGAAGGAACGTATGGAAAGAATGGAAATGATGAAACGAACTTGTGCGGAATATAACCACATTTTGGTTTAGTCCACGTGTGACACTGATGTATCATAATACCCATATCTGGTGTGTACCAATGTGCTAACTTTCTAGCAACTGCTTCGAAGAATCGTAACGTATGGTTATTTGCATGTACGAAGAAATTTGCACCTAGAAACAACGATTCCTGATTGATCATATCATAAGATCGAATTCGCAAACAAATAAACAAGCATGTCGCTGCGTCACGTCAAACTCAGGCAATCCAAGTAGAATTTTTGCCTCACCAGGCATGATTTTTGCACATATTTTCTAGCATCGGTAGTACTGCTAGCAGACCGTAGTGTTTCGGTTGCTATCGTAATAGTTGCCATAACCTGGTTGTGAATGTCCAGTTGGACACTTCTCATCATCATGTTAGGTGTCTGTCTCAGTTTTTCAGACAACATTCACATACGGTACATTGCATTGACTGCGTACAATAAGCAGATTTGTTTTCGTTAAAATGCATGAATACACGAGCTGCTGTGCAAAGAACGATCATATTTCATTTCTAATTTGGTGTTTACTTTCAGCATTGCGGTAATTTGATTAACATTCTTTCTTCTTTTTTTTGAGGCAACGCACTCTCTGATTTAATAACGGCTGACGCATGCAAGCTGTTTGAATGACACACTATTTTGAGCATTTCGATATTTGACATTTGAGTATTTTGACATGAATCGAATCACATGGTTAATGACTGATTTGATTAAATGTTTGAATTTGATATGTGAATACGATATGTGAATTTGATCGACCCACGATCACTTTACCAACATTCATAAATATGAATCATATTTTGCTTATACGTTTTGTTTTCGCTGAAGAGTGAAAAGTTGAAACTAACCATTCACCCATTCGGCACGTTGTGAATTTTGACCATCGCCAATTTGATCGAAAATAGCGTCGTATTGAAAATTTTCTTCATACTTCAAATCGAACACATTTCGACGCCAGAACGTATCTTGCTGCATCATCCAAAATGATTTACCGTGCTTCAACAAGCACACCGCAAGATTTGCACGTAGTAAATACAACGTTTGATAAGCGCCTTCAGCGAAGCTGAATGGCCTCTGAAAATTTGCAAGTGAATTTCAAAACACTGAAAACATCTAGCAATATTATGATACCTACAGATAAGCCGATGGCTTCAATTGATTAATTGTGTTCAGTTGAAATTTCTTTTGGAATGGAGAATTCAGACTATCAAGAAGAATGAATGCTCATCTTCATCACTAGATGTCACCTGATGCGCACCTAATTTGACAATTTGATTGCCGCTGAAACTACTCATGTTATTTTGCTATTGTTTGTGTACAAACTTATATAAGCAATTCAGTGCAAATCAAATACGGCTTCGTGTTTATTTGAAAGCGATTGCTGCAATATTTGAAATTCTACGGGTCATTCGTCATTTGTCACAATAAAAATAAAAATAATGAAATCAATAATGGCAATCAAATTAAGTATGAGATTAATGTCAATAACAATGATAACATTCATGATAAAATCAAAATATCATAATTGTTCTCACTAATTTCATAACAATAATGACCGTAGCGATGCTTAAACCGATAGCAATCATATCATTGATAGTTTTCAGCATTTTGAGTGATGGATATGCCAAGCTCCGGAGCCAAAAAAAACTTCTTTTATGGCTCCTTCAAAAACGAGATATCACAGCAAAATCCAGTGGCCGGAGCCAAGATTTGCTATTTTTTTCAAGAGTTAAAGCAGAATAAAGCGAATTTTAGAGCTTGAGCTTGGGCAGGAGCCGAATAATTACACAGTAATTTATCATGAACTCAATATGCACTGAAAATTCTACTATCAGTGAATTGTTTGAGAAATGCAATTTTTGGAATTCTCATTCACTATTCGAAAAGAAAAGCCTACATATAAACTTGGCGTCGGCCAATAAAGTTGTCGTACGTTTGGCCAATACTCCTTGAGAACGTCACGAGCAGTTGAGTCGAGAGTGATGAAAATGAGTCGATCGTGAACACCATTCAAATCGTTGGTATTACACAGAAAGTTGAACGTCATGTTGAGTGCGTACTGATTTAAGAAGAATATAGCTGGTGGTCGACTGAATTCATGATCTAATGTCCAGAGTAAACGCTTGAATTCACTGGAGTGTTCGATGGCCGCTTCAGAAACTTCCATGCCATGCACTTTCACGTAGCGTACAGCCGCAATAGCATTTTGCGTTTTTCGTAGCACCAATATGCCGACCATGAACCAGAAGAGATATGTCAAATAACAACAATACAAATACAGCTTCGGTGGTACATAACTCCAAATGAGATCGTATAAACGCGCTAATGATTCATAATAATCGTATAAGATTCTCGAATATTTGTGCATTGGAGACGATGGCAATGAAAAAGAAAGTGATGAGAAAATCCATAAGAAGTTCATTCGCCATAAGCCGGTGGAATCATTGCAACGAACATTGCAATCGTTTGGTGTTAACTTTTGTTGTATCATCGTCTCGTCATTAGCACTATTCAACCGCCGCCTAATCAGATCTGATGTATTGCTGTCGTCAGATGCAGGATGATGACGATGATGATGACGCTGATTGTAATGGTGTTGTTGATGGCTACTTTCAGCTTGCGACATCTCTCGTCGAATCGCGCTTGCGTCAGCATTCAGTTGAATCGAACGAATCATCACCGTCTTCTTCTAGAACATTTAATCAAAAGCGATTTTGAATCGCCTGCGTCGTGGTAAAAACTGGTAGTTTTTATTATTTTTACTGTTATTACTATCAGTTTTCTGATTACTGCTGTTGAGACTCTGAGTATTGTTATTCTGGTTGCTTTTTTGATTAGTTACTTTTGTGGATGTTCTATTAGTTCGATTATTGATTCCTTTATTTATTGAGAATCACTGAGAAACATTTCGAACTTCGAATCAGTTGTTGCAGATTGTTCATATAAGCAGATCAACAATGCTGCTGTAGACAATATTTAAAAAGGGGCCAGAATATGACGGATATCGATGGCTTGTTTTGGTATGGCGTGGTGGTGATATCGAACGATGAGATAGATAACTTGTTCGCGATGAGTCAGAATCGGCTCGATTCAATAAGGATGTAATTTCGACTGATCAAGGCGATTCGCTGCGTACCTGAAATTTCAACGCAACATTGAAGAATAGGGCAATGATAATGTCGTTCAATCAGCATAAAGTTGTTATATATATATATA